CCTGTTCTCTGTGCGCTTATGAACAACTCCTTACGAGGGCAGGTGATAGGACAAGGGGTAAAATGGGTTCAGAGTGAAAGAGGTCAGGTTTAGATTGGATATTAGGAAGAAATTCTTTACTGTAGTGAGGCTCTGGCACATGTTTTCCAGAGAAGCTGTGGCTGCCCCAGCCCTGGAAGGGTTCAAGGCCAGGCTGGACAGGGCTCTGAGCAACCTGGTCTAGAGGAAACTGTCCCTTCATGTGGCAGGGGGAAGTTGGAATTGGATGATTTCTAAGGTTCCTTCCAGGCCAAACCGTTCTGTGGCTCTGTCGATACAAGCCGGTCTCTTGCTCTCCTGTAGATACGATCCAAGCAAAGGAATGGAAAGTTTGGAGGACACCTTTGTGTCCAAGGCCAGCGCTCTGCAAAGGAAAGGACGGGCAGGACGAGTGGCCTCGGGTGTCTGCTTCCATCTCTTCAGCAGCCACCACTACAACCATCAGCTTGTAAAACAACAGCTGCCAGAAATACAGAGAGTGCCCTTGGAGCAGCTCTGTCTAAGGTGAGCTGTGGTGTTTCTTGAAAAACCCAGTGTGCAGAACGTCTTTCCTTTGCTGGGGGGAGCACCTGCCACAACCCACACCAAGCACCTTCATCATTCAGACATTAAAGGAAGAGGCCTTCCTATCCCTGCTGCACACTCTGCACCCCTTTGTACTGAGAGGAAACAAAGCAGCACAAATTACAGTTTTGCAGTAAGAACTTTATTTCAAACCTTAGTGTAGTAAATAGAAATCTGTTCTTACGGGTTCACTACTCCACATTGCTCCCTGACTTCAGCTCTGTGTTGCAGGTCCTCTTCTAGGGAGTGTGCTCTTCAAAGCATGTTTTCTCTTGGCTTTTTTTGTTCTGTTTTTACAAAAGCTTGTTTTTTTTTATCCTGCGTATGGTGCTAAGCTGCTTTTTTTTCTTTGTTTTTTAATTTTCCCTCCCCTTCTCTTAAGGATTAAGATCCTGGAGATGTTCTCTGAGCAGAGTCTTCACTCTGTCTTATCACGACTGATCGAGCCCCCTAGGACTGAATCTTTGCAGGCATCAAAGGTGCGACTGCGGGACCTGGGAGCGTTAACTCCAGATGAAAAGCTCACCCCTTTGGGTTACCACTTGGCTTCGCTCCCTGTGGATGTCAGGATTGGCAAACTCATGCTGTTTGGCACCATTTTCCGCTGCCTGGATCCTGCGCTGACCATAGCGGCCAGCCTGGCCTTTAAGTCACCTTTTGTGAGTATTCTTAACCCAAGGGCTGTGCTTTTGTGTGTCAGCAAAACGCTGCTGTGACTTGCAGCACGCTACACTTGAGTATTCTAATTCTTCTTTTTAGCCTACATTGTTTATGTGTTAATGCAGTGCTTGTGAAAGCAGTCCAGTTATAAGCAGAAGTTCAAAACCACATGTTAGCAGCGAGAGTGGTATTTATATACAGTAGAAACAGTGAATATTATTTTGAATTTTTAGCTAATAAGTGCGCACGTTTTGTCTGAATTTGGTGTGAGAATTACACCCATTAATTAATATAAAGTGTGAAACAGTGGTAATGATGGAGCTGACACATCTGAGCTGTGAATGCAGAGGTCAGTTTGGATCTCAGTTTGTGTCTTCACTGTCACTTTGGTGTGTTGAATCAGCTGCTCTTTTGAATGCCTCATATCTTCTGTTATCCAGAGGGAAAATTTACACTCTGACCTGTGAGCTGCTGTGAAAATACCAAAGAGAATGTGCCATGTAGCTCTAGAAGGGCTCGTCCAAGTGGTATGGGGAAGAACACACTAACTTGTTGCTGCCTGTCTAGGTGTCACCATGGGATAAAAGGGAAGAAGCAAACAAAAAGAAGCTGGAGTTTGCAGTAGGAAACAGTGACTACCTGGCTCTTCTCCAGGCTTATAAGGTGAGTTAAAACACAGTAGCCTCTCTTGGGGTTTTGTGATAATTTGAAATTCAAGCAGAAATGTTTTATTAAAGGCTTCCTCCCATCCTCTCAATCAGGGATGGCGTTTAAGTATCAAAGAGGGCTCTCAAGCAAGCTACAACTACTGCAGGGAGAACTTTCTGTCAGGCAGAGTTCTTCAGGTAAGTCAGTGTTTGGGGCCTGGCAGAATCCCAGTGACAGAAATAAGCCACTGGGGAGACTCCTCCTGCTGGGCGTGGCAGCTGTCACAGTGCTCTGTCTGTTGCAGGAAATTGCCAGTCTGAAGAGGCAGTTTGCAGAACTGCTTTCTGACATTGGCTTTGTGAAGGAGGGATTGAGAGCCAGGGATATTGAGAAGAAGTGGTCCCAAGGAGGTGATGGCGTGTTGGATGCCACAGGAGAGGAGGTGATTCACAGCATTTCTTCAGTGCTTCAAAATGCTGCTGTAGTTTTTCATGTGGGCTGTCTTCAGGAAGACTGGAGCCAGAGATGTCCTGGGCTTACATGATGATCAGGGTTATCAGGGCTTGGTAGCTGCAGGATCTTCTGTGCTCTGGTACAACTTATGCTTGCTTTCTCTAGGGTGCAAGCCACTTTGTAGTCAGATGTCAAAGAACAATTCGGCTGGGCACCACGATAGTAGTGGCCAATTTGTTCCATTGATTGTGGGGGGAAACACAGCCCAGGTCCAGCCTGATGCCACAGGAGCCGTGACTTGTTCTCCTCTGCGAAGCACAGGAGTGTAGCTATAAAAGTGAACTGGTTTCAGGGATTCAGTCATTCACCTTTACACACTGAGCTGTAGGATCCCTAACGATCCCCTATTGCTTTCACAGGCAAACTCGAATGCAGAGAACATCAAGCTGATCTCAGCAATGCTGTGTGCTGCACTGTATCCCAATGTTGTCCAGGTAAAAGGATTGGTTTTTCATTTTTCCTTTTTCTGTCTAGCATATCCACACAGCCTGCTTTCATTTGGGCTCAGTGTGGCAGCCTTGAGCCTGGCTTAGGTTGCCAAACTTTGCTACTTGCAGCGTCAGAGACCTGGAGCAGAGCTCTTTTGTATTGCCTGAGACTGCTGCTGCTCTAAAAGGCTGATTGCAGGCTGAAGCCAGCAGCAAATGTTAAGAAGCCACTTAAAATTACACGTTTTTAGAAGGCTGAGTTTACAAAGGAAGTCAGGGTTTAGCACCTGGAGTGTAATACCTGTCTCCAGTGACTCGACATGTTGTTACTACAGAATTTCTATTTTTGAAAAGTTTAGAACATAAAGTTAAAAGTTTTTCTGGTGCGGCAGATTTTTATAACCTTTTTTCTTACCATACAGGTGAAAAAGCCAGAGGGTAAATACCAGAAGACCAGTACAGGTGCGGTCAAAATGCAACCAAAAGCAGAAGAGCTGAAGTTTGTTACTAAAAATGATGGTTATGTTCATATTCATCCTTCATCTGTGAATTATCAGGTCAGGATGCTTTTTTCTGCAAAGCACGCTTTTTTTTTTTAGAAAAGAAACCACCTTTGCTTGAGTATTTAAAATTACAGTGAAGATCCCTATTGATGTTTAAAATAAAAAATCTTAATGATTGAACAGTCCTGTGTTAGGATTATAAATAATGGTGCATTCCTGAGTTAGGAGTGTCCTCTTAGGCACAGAGTTAAACTCCAGCCTCTGGAGCCAACAGTTGTTGGCAGCTCTTATGCTCAAGGAGTCTGCTAGCGCTGCAGGTGCACTTTAGGCACATTTGCTGCTCTCTGCAGCTGTAGAAGAGGCAGGAAGAGCAGTGTCACTCTGACCAGGCTGTTGTGTCCCTGTCCCAGACCAGGCACTTTGAGAGCCCCTACCTGGTGTACCACGAGAAGATCAAGACGAGCCGCGTGTTCATCCGGGACTGCAGCATGGTGTCCGTGTACCCGCTGGTGCTGCTCGGGGGCGGCCAGGTGCACATGCAGCTGCTCAAGGGGGACTTTGTCATTTCCCTGGACGACGGCTGGATCCGCTTTGTGGCTGCCTCTCACCAGGTGAGGAGGAGGAGGGGCCATCCTGGGAGAGCTGCAGAGCTGAGCTGGAGATGAGCCTTACCCTTGCCTGTGTTTTACCACGTCTGTTAGGTGGCTGAGCTGGTGAAAGAGCTGCGCTGTGAGCTGGACCAGCTGCTGCAGGATAAAATCAAGAATCCCAGCATGGATTTGTGCATGTGCCCCCGCGGTTCTCGGATCATCGGGATGATTGTCAAGCTTGTGACCACGCAGTGATACCAGAACAGCTTTCTGTAAAGAATCACCCACGGCCAATGCCTGAGAACAGACCAAGTAACATCAGTGTCCTGATGTATTTATTGGTCCAAAATGTGGCACTGACCTCTGGAAGAAAAGGCTTTACTATTGAGTTTTGGGTTTTCCTTTTGTTTGCTCGCTGGTTGAAATTAAGGTGGCTTACAGTTGACTCTGGGAATGAGAAAACGGCAACTCTTCCAGAAGGAATAGAAACCGCCAAGTGTTTTTTATGGGACTATACCCTGGCAGTTGTTTTCTGGTCACACAAACAGCTGCTAGCCAGCTGTTTCTCGTAATAGTCATGGCTGGAGGCAGCATGTGACAGAGGGAGCTGCTTCCAAACTGGTTTAAACTCACATTCACATTTTGACCAAGACTTTACTGAGGCAGTTTTGGCTGACCAGGGATCCACTGTTTATAGTTCAGCCCAAAGCCCTGGTACAAGTGAACACATTTTGTGTCAAGAGCTTCTGTCCTGTGGTGAGGAGAGGTACTGGATCAGTGTGGTGTTAGATCAGTGCAGGTTGCTCTGGTGATAGGGGGTAAAACTCCAGGACAGTGCAGACATTTTCCCTGAAAGAGGCTGTTCCAGCCCTTCCTGCACTGGGAAGTAGAACAGTTGTAGTGCATTAAAATGAATTCTTGGGCAGATGCCACTGCTAATGTGTTCTGGTATGGGGTAGTCCCTCCTGCTACCCTGCACAGCTTGAACAAAATCACATTTTTGGAAGCTTTCAACCAAACTCCTGCTCTGGGGTCTGGGCTGCTCCAGTGTGTAGTAAAACGCTGTAGCAATAATGAACTATTATTTCCTCCCTTTGGTCTTGTTAATTGCAGTGCTGAGCACTGCTGCAGCCAAGCTGCTCTAATACCAAGTGCCAGGAGTGGGCTGTCCCCTTTCACAGTAAAAGCAGAGTGAACACTGCCTCCAGCACCAGTCTGAGCTACAACCTTCAGCCTGAGGAATGATGAGTGGAGGGAGGGGCATTGTTTGGAGAACAGTTTGATTTTTTAAAAAAATACACATGAATTTTTTGTCGAAGTTTCACACTAACACAGCCTCCTGTGAGGAAGATGACAGGAGTACCAAGACCAACATCCCTGTGCATAGAATGGCCACAGCAGCTCTGCTGTCATAAATGAGCCTCTCCTCCATTCCACCTCCCTGACCTGGCACTGAGAGAAGGTAGAAGGATGGGATGTGAGAGAATTCACACGTCGAGATACAGGCAGTTTAATAAAACAAAAACAAAAGCCATGCACAGGCACAGCGCAGTGAGGAATTTATTCCCCACTTTCCTTGAGCAGGCAGGTGTTCAGCCACGCTGGGAAAGCAGGATGGTGTCATTCCTAAAATTACCTGGCACTCCAATTTCCTTGTTATTCTGAGAACAGACATCAGCCTCAAAGATAAATCAAATAGGCAAAGATCCTGCATTATTTTATTAATTCAGTGGGGATAGTCTGGTTTCCCAAAGCAACCACGGATCAGCACAGCAGTAAGGCCCTTCCCTAGGTGCGCTTCCCTGCCAGGATGGAACCAGGCAGACAGGGTCAGACAGGAGGAACTTGAGCTCTCAGTTCCCCACAGATCCTGCTACTTGAACATGACCTGCAGGTTGTGCTTAGGACCTGTCATCTCCACAAAACCCCTTGAATTTCCTAAAAAAGGTATACAGACATATAGTATACACTCCACAGACAACTGGCACTGGTACCTGCTCCCTCCAGCTCGTGCTCTGCAGGGATGCAGAAGGCACACATGTGCCTGTCCAACCTGCACCCTGTTTTTCATCCCAGGGGCACACTGCCTGCTTCCCCATCCCAACTATGAACAGCAGGGTTACCACAACTGCTTTATTAGTTAGAAATGCAGTTTAATTCAATGCACCAATAAAAATAAAAAAAAAAAAAAAGCCCAACATTTTCAGATCACAGAACACAAACACAACAGAAGAGTTTTGTATTAGTCTGGTAACAATACTTTTCTTTAGAAGATAGAGATTCATGCCAATTGCTAGTCAATAGAAAGAGACTTCTAGGACTAAGCCCTTACATCACAAAATCCCTTATAATGTAAACAAAATATGTTTTTTACTAAACCTCTTAAATTTGAACCCATTCTTTTAGGACTTTCATTCCTTCAAGGGCTTCCGGATGGTGAGTGACTGAAAGGAAAAAGAGACAACAAACCATTAACAACTCCTACAACAAAACCAACATAAACTGCATGTTACCCCAGGCTTCCTCTGGAGTTCTGCCCCTACTTTCACTTACTGTTCTCAAACAATGAAAGAAGTGTTGTGCTTTACACTTTAACTTAAAAACTCCTTCAAGCTTGAAAACTGAAGACTAATTAAGAGAGCTGAGATATAAAGCCTGCTCAGAAATCTCAATTCCAGCACATACTTCTCTGGTAACACAGGAAAACTTCTTCCTTCATGGAGCATAGCACAGCTTGGCACCTGTGAAACTCCTGAGCCTGCAGGAGTCACCAGCAGGAATGTAATCCTACACCACTTTCATGGCCTGTTCCATGCCTTACATTACTAACTTGTTCCCTAGATTTTAAATTCCTCTAACATTTCATTAAAGCAGGTTTCCTTAGGAGTTATCATGACATTCTGACTACCAGCAGCAGGAAAACGCCCATAAACAATTCATCTTCTCATAGTTCACAGATTTAGGCAAGTAAAAAGCCTGAGTTTGCCCAAGTTAACTTCTCTAGGAACTGCTCCAGCCCAAGTGCTATTGAGCCCTAGGACACACTCCAGTTTTAAGACATTCCTACCTTCTCTTTGGAGATGGTGATCTGGACTTTGAGCGGCTGTTTAAAAAACAAACAAACAAACCAATCAGTGTGGTTGCTACACTTGGGTGCTCTCAGTAACCACTTTTGACCATTTAAAATCAGAACAATTTGATGTTGTTAAATGCATTGACACTGCTGGTAGCAAGTGTACCCAGTTACTTTAAGCAAGAAGCTGCAAGTGAGAAGGAAAAATGCTGGAAGCCGGAGCCCTCGGGAAAAGAGCAACACACAGCTTCAAAGCTGCTGTAAATCACAGTAACCCTGCAAAGCAGGAGCAGTGAATCGAGCAGAGTTAGGGAGAACTACAAACATTTGAGAACAAAGGTAGGAGAAAATATGCCCCAAATCCTGGCAAAAGTGTTTTCTTGTGGTTATGAGTGAAAAACATCTGTACGCGGAATCCCTGAAGAATTGCCTACTGTCCCACTAAAAAAAAATCGGCTGTTAAAAAAAGCCCCATAACGTATGAAAAATGTTTTTGAAATCAGCTATGGAAAGTAAAAAAACAACCCTGCAACTGAAATAGTGGTCCAAACACATTTTTAAATCAGTAGCCAAAAAAAGCAAAGAACCCCACAAAAAACCCCACCAACCAAAACAAAAACCACCTGAGTGGTACTTTCATTTGAACGCTCACCTTTTAGCAGGTAAGCCAGATTTAGATCTACCATGAGACTCAGACCTACAACAGGAGAAAAATAAAGCTCAGCAAAGCAGCCAGTGAGCATGCAAACACATTGAGAGTTAGCTACACCAGCAACAGCAGATTCACCCCACGCAGCAGCACCAACCACAGAGGGAAGGCTCTGGTGCTGCAGGCCTTCCCTGGGACCTTCCAAGGGAATCATTTAGCTCTTACTGCAGAGACCCCACCCATCAGAAGGTACAAGTGCAAGCACAGGAAGCTCCCCAGCAAAGCTTCAGCTGCCAGTTCCACAAAACGCCAGACCAGACTTCCACACTTTCTTCCTACCTGCAAGTATCCCTTCTAGAAGGGGAAAAATAGTTTCAAGTGTGATCTTAGGAAGTATTTTAACAGCACATTAAGAGCCTGGAATCAGCCACAAGTAAGCAAGCGTGCTGAAGAGCTGGTGCATTCTTTAGCTCAAATTCCCAATGCCAATTTTATTTGAGCACAATATAGATTTTGCACCAAGATTTGGCTACTAATGAGTAAACTATTCCAAATTCACTTCAGGAATTATCTACTTAAACAGTGAGACTTTCCTCCCACATTTATTGCATTACTTTTATCAACTCAAATATTTGCTGTTACTTAAAAAGTGTGGCTTCGTGGGGTGTCAGAATTCAGGCTATCACTCGGCATCAGAATGTTCCTTTCAACAAGCTTGGCCAAAAAAGCAGAATACTTTTATTTCTGCTCACAACTGTTTTTGAAGGGTAATCAAGATTCACCTTTGCCTTGCCTAATAGCTCATGAAATGCTACAAGGACATTGCTGGCACGTGTTAAACAAAATATATGCCACTGCTTTGAAACCTTCCTGGTCACTATTCTGAGCCACTGTCTGTCCCATTTTCCCCCCATAACAAGTAACTTTTTACTGGATCACAGTTACTGAAGATGGGAATGCTCACAGCCACCCAGAACTGGTACTCAGCAGCATGAGCTGCTGCATCTCTTCTACTGCTAAGTAAAAGGCAGCACAGCACACAAACCCATCCTCAATTTACTACACACCTAAGAACTTGTTTTTAAAAACTCTCTCCACAGACCTTATATTGTACATCACTACTTTGGTCTGTGACAAAGCATAAATTATTAAGTGTAAATATTGCTCTGCTGGACAGCCTTCTAAGTGCTTCCGGACAAATTCCCCCAGGAAAGAAAAAAAAGAAAAAACACACCACCAAACAACAGACCAAAACCATTACTGGGTTGAATTAAAACAAGTATCTCACCTGCTTCGAGGCCATACAATAGACCGGGACCTGGAGCGTGACCTGGACCTAGATCTGGAAAAAAACCAATGAAAGCTCTGCTATCAGATGCTTCATACATGTGAGACAAAACCAGTTACTGTAAATGTCCCAGGAAACTGAGAACTTTATGGACTACTGGTTTTGAAGAAGTAATTTTTATTATTAGAAGGCTGTAGCACCTTTGGTCAGTACCTCCATGCATGTAAAAAGAATCTCACTGTTTTCCTGGACTATGCAATTCCACCCTGTACACTTCAAGCTGAATTTGGAAATCTTAACCATACAGTAAGGCTGTAACTTCGGCACAATCTTAGAAACAGTGGTTCCAAAATTAAACACTTATATTTTCAACGAAGTGTTCAGAGCAGCTCTTACGCATGTAACACCACCAAAGTTCCCACCAACATATGGACTGCAAAACAAACTTACTGATTACATTATATATGTTATACATAGATACTTGATACTTCAGCTCCAACTTATGTGCCCTTCAACAATACTGTGGGGGTTTAACTGCAACCACATACCTTGATCTTCTTAGAGAACCAGAGCGGGACCTGCGGGGTGAGAATGATCTGTATCTACGAGGAGAGATCGACCTGGACCTGCGGTAGGAAGCTGACCTGGATCTACAAAACAAAGGGAAAAAAACAACCCATCATTGCAAGGTTTTTTCACAAAAACTACAGAAAAGGAAGGGTCCCCAGAGGGAGGAGTGGGAATGTAAACACAGAAGGCAGAGCCCTACCTCCTACCACGGCTGCGACTGCGTGACCGGGAATACCTTCTTCCACGGGACCTCGAGCGGGATCTAGACCGGGACCTGGGTTTAGGTTAGAAAAAACCGGTATCAGCAGACAGCTGCTGCAACCAGCACGTGTGAGGCCCTGCTGAAGTCAAAACTTTTTTCAGACAACTAAAAAGAGAATTTAAAAATAAAATAATAAAAGAAAAACCAAACCAAACAAAACAACAAAAACACACCACTAGCATCTGTCAGTTGGAAAAATGTCTGGGCCTACTTGTCTTGATCATTTTTACTACCTAGAAAAATGTTAAAGCTGAATTACATTGCAGAATTACATTAGAATAGAAAACACTGTAATGCGTATTTAAAATAAACCTTGCAAGTTTGCAGGTCGACCCTCTTTGGCCCAAGGTCTAGCAGATCTAGACGATCTAGAAGTATCTATAGGCGAGCGCTGCATCTAGGTAGGTGTTCTCTTCAATCTAACGACGATCAAACTGACAGCCCAATGAGCCAGGGTGAGGCTTGATTGACGCAAGAAGATTTTTCTAGGTGGGAATGTGGTCAATCTGGTGTTCCTCTTTCTAAACCGGAGGGGGGCCCCAATTGAAAGCCAAATTTACTGTTACGGCGGTCACCGTCTCAAATTTTCTGCCCTTAAAGAATAAGGTGAAGCTACGTGTAGATGGCTCGAGGGGATCTGGCCTCTTATGCTGATCACCTCAAGGTCTAGGAGGATCTTAAGTGTCGGATTTGCAAGGCGCCTCAGCATGAAATCTTAAGGCTCGTGACATTCTGAATCAAGGCGACTGACTCAAACGAAGAAACCTGAAAGGTTTTGACCAGGTTGATTATTAAAATATTAACATTTTATATGTATTAGCAAAAAAAAAATTGTGATATACACCTGTTGACTTACGACAATTAGAGTTAAAACTGGTGTAACATTGTGTTCTTTGCTAACAAGAACTACACAAAAGCGAGCTGGCGAAGCAACGCGGCAGCCCCGGCCCCGCACGTACCTGCTCCTCCTTCGCCGGCTATAGCGGTGACAGTCATAGGCATAGTGGCCTTTCTCACCACACTCATAGCATCTGTCGTTGGGGTCGAAGGGGCGCCGGGCAGGGGGCCGGTCGTAGCGGGAGCGGCGCGGCATCCCTGTGGATACTTCCACTCTGACCCTGGAGCCGCATATTATCCTGCAAGACACAGCAGGTATTAGCCAAACAAATATTTTCTTCTGATGAGCTCAAACAACGACCATCGGAAATCCATGCTTGGTGTGGGGATCGAGGGCTGCGGCCCTCAGAAAAGTTCCGGGCATGCACGTACTTCCCATCGAGGCCAAGCACAGCATCTTCAGCATCGCGGGGGTCTTCGAACTCCACGAAGGCGAACCCCGGCGGGTTCCTGGCGATCCACACGGTTCTCAGCGGTCCATAGTAGCTGAAGGCTCTCTCCAGCTCGCCTTTGCCGGCGCCCGTGCCCAGGTTCCCCACGTACACCTTGGTCTCTGTGGGGACACGCGGCCGCCATGTCAGGGCCGCGCGCGGCGCCGGGCACGCGGCCGCCCCTCCCCCGCCCCCTCCCCGCCGCCATCTTTGACACCGCGTCCATCTTAGGGCGCTCCCGCCGGGCCGCGCCCGCCCTCCACAGACCCCGCAGCCGCGGCGGCCCCCCCGGCGCCCCCTCCCCGCCGCAACCGTCCCTGTCAGCGGCTGCCCGAGGGAACGATCACCTTCTCCCACCGCCGGAGCGGCGCGAATGCCGCCACTCCCGCCACCTTCCCCTCGCCCTCCTGCCCACAGTAGAAGCCCCCTTGCGATTCTCAACCTCCCCCGGCTCCCCGCCGTCCCTACCGTATCGCCCGTAGCGCGACATCCTCCCGACGACAGCGCGAGCGCGGACCGGCGCGACCCTTATATAGAGCAACAGCTGCTGCGCCTGCGCGCCGCGCGGGAGGCGGGGCGGGGCGGGGCGGGGCGGGCCCGCGCCTCGGCGCGCGGGGTCTCGCGAGAGGCGGTTCTCGCGCGGCGGCCGTGGCGGGCCTGAGGGGACGTGAAGGGCGGGGGTCACCCCCCGGCTACTCGCGGGCACACGGGACGGGCACACACCCCCCACCGGCCCCCAGTGACAGCTCCTGCCCGCCTCTGAGGGGGCAGGGCAGCCGGGAGCCACTTGTCTTGCACCCCTCATGCGTGACCCATCACGCCTTCTGCCTGCGCTGAGGGTGAAGGAGCTGCTGCCGTGGTGGTTCTTCTTCCGCCGCCAGGAGTGGTGCCTTCCTTGGAACAAGGCTTTCCCAAATTGCTCCAAATATCTTGTGGTGGCTTTCACCTCGGAACAATCCCAACCGGCCTTGAGAGTTCACTCCCTGCTTTATCCCCCATGTATCTGACATGCAGCTGGAGCTGTTGTGTATCGGCATCTCTCAACCTTTCCACGGAGACACACACAGGAATGGATGTGCAGTAGACATTTTTAAAGAAATAATCAGAACGAACCTGACAGATTCTAAGTAATTTTAGGTAAATCCCAGCAGGAATGAGGAAAGCCTTTTAGGAACAAGAGCTAGGCAGACTTCCCAGATGCATTTGAGCACCAATGTGCTTATCTCCTAATAAGGCAGAACAAACACACTGAGAGATAAATGAAAGCTCTAAATGTTCCTTACTGCATTAATGATCTCAGGAATAATCACATAATGATTCCTGCATCGTGTGTTGGCATAAACTAGAAACAGAGGGAACAAACTTACTGAATTGCAACAAATTTTCCTTTTACAGAACATTGGTTTTCAAAGCACTGCTGCTCTAAAATAACAAATATAGAGAAGTAATGGTTTTAAAACCTGTTATTTGCCTGCTAACCTTCCCTAATAATCTTATAAACTCAGACATACATTGTCCTTTATCTTCTAAACCAGGAGAACAGTAATGGGATAAACAAACAAACAACCAGCCACAAAAACTACAAAACAAAACAGCTTTATGAACATTTTTTTGAATTTGGTTTGGGAAGTCCACATGTCATAATTCTCTTTCTTGAAAAAAAAAATACATCTGGTAAGCAGTTCAAATAAACATGCCTCCAGCACTTGATAATTAAACTAGTTTTAAAGGGAAGACAGTTTAAATGTATTATATATCACCTTTAACAGTACTCTTACAAAAATTCTAAACAAGTTAAACTGATAAATCAGTTTAATACATCAGCATTATCCAACTGATTGCTTCTAATAAAAACAATTAATGAAAAAAATGCTTGTGCTTTGAGTTTATACTTCTCGTTTTATCCCTTCCTTTGCATACAAAAAACCAAGACAAAAGTACCCAAAACGCAGGATTTCTGCACACAGTGAATACTGATGCCCAGGAGAGTTTCTAAAACAGGAGAGTTCCTAGAAACAAAAGGTCTCATCAGCAGGGCCTCAGCGCTGTTGCTCGAGGTAGCCCTGCAGCAAGCCCTGCATGCGGGCCAGGATGATCTCGTTGGCGCTGCTGCACTGCTCAGGGCCGTACGGGGGCTCAATGGTCAGCACCCCTGCCACGCTCAGCGTCCTGCCCAGCTCCCCCTGCTCACCCACGGGGATGTGGTTTGTCTCCAGCCAAGTCTTCAAGGCGTTCTTCCTCTTCTCCAGCTCCTCTGGGCTGTAGGCCTGGCTTTCCTCGGGCGCAGAGATGCGAGCGAGGCGCTGCTTCATGTCACTGTCCCCTTCCTGCAGTATTTCGACCTCTTGGATGGCGTGGCCCATGACGAATGATATGGACCCTTTCTCGTTCTCTGGGAATGTTGCAAGGACAATGCTGTCAAGGAAAGGAGATTGTGTAAGTTCCTGTTTTTAACTGAAGACAGAGAAGGAGCCTCCAAGGTTTTGGAGGTAAGAACTCATTAGCATCAGCCTAACCCAGGTATTTAGGCAATATCCAGCACCCAGCATTTTCCTTTGAAAAGCATGCTGCTATACCCTTAAAATACTAAAAATGTGGGGCTCTGAAGGCAACTGCTGGTCTTGAATTTGAAACTACTCTAGATTAATGTGCCCTTTGCTTTGAAAAAATAAAGTCAAGTCTGAAAATCCAAATATTTTTGTGCAGTTTTCCCAACACCTCTGAAGAACCTAAAACATTTCAACATTCAGAAACAGTGATACCTTCATACATGCAGCACTTTAAATGCTGAAGGCAGCTAACAATACCAGAACCTTTTGATGAAAAAATAATAATATTTATTGATCATTACCAAAAGAATGATTTTTTATGACTGTTGCCAGTTTGTGAAATTAAAATGCAACAGGAACACACTACAGAAGGCTCAGGCTCACATTGTAGAAACCTGGTCTTTTCCCAGGGCACTTGCACCCCAGAGGTCTCAAAATGCAAGTGGGAAGGCAGCTGGTTATATTTCTAAGATCTCTCCCTCATATATCAACAATGAGCATCAGAAACCATTCTCTTCCTCTTGTGGGAAGTAAAATTCCAGAACTCAATGCCAGCACTTCACTAGCCCATTACTGCCACCATTAGTGGAAGTAATGACTTCTTGGGTTGTGTCCAGTGAGATATGCTTTGATTTCAGCCTGGACCATTACCAGAATCACAGCTGCATTGCACCTTTCTTACCAAAATGATAAGAAACTTCAGGAGATTATTTGAGCTACTCCAGAGCTAAAGCTACAACGAATTCTTCTGAAACACATCAGAAGCTGAATGTTTTCGTTTTCAGCCTCCATCCTGCATTTATGTGAGACAAGCTTACAAGCAAAGAGGTACCAAGAGGTACTCTGGCAGCAAGGAGACAAATTTCTGCCCATTTCCTGGTGCCTTGTGCCTTTCAAACCCTGTTTTCAAGTTACTCGCTTGGGATACCAGAGATGTGTGGTACCATTTTCTGTCCAATGCCCCTGATTTTCCCTGCTTGCTCTCCAAAGAAGCCTCTACACCTTCATGGGTGTCTGGCTGGAGTGGAAAGCCAGGCATTAATGCAAGAACTCTGGACAAAGGCTACGGATTTCAACACCTAGAGCACTGAAAACACTCCTGCACTCTTTGTAAAGCAGGATTTATATTCCCAAAAAGCGATCTTTAACACATGTATTGTTGAGAGGTAAGAGTATAGTTTAATATGTAAGTTTTAAAGAGTAAGCCACTTGGAATTATATTACTGTGTGATTTAATATCCTGTTCACTTTGCTTTACTTGTTTAGCATGAGTAGTTGGATTTGCTGAAGACTTGCCTGCAAGCTGTGAACTTTCACCTTGAACACATGCATTCAGCTGGTAGAGAGTTGATTTTCTTAGCAATTTTCCTAGAATATGGCACAGTGCTGAGTTTTGAATTTGCAGTGAGAATAACGTTCCTAGCACGCTGATATTTTGGTTGTTGCTAAGCAGTGCTTATTCTAAATCAAGGACTTTTTAGTTTTCCATGCTCAGCCAGAGATGAGGTGCACAGGAAGTACAAACCAGAAGATAAGAAGGCTGCAGCCATCGGCATTAGCTGCAGCTTAACAAGATAACATGCCATTTTTGCTCCAAATAAGTTTGCTTCAGCCTTCGGATCTTTTCTCTTCCTAAAAATCTTACTTTTTATTAGTTTTACAGAAATAAAAGCTTTGGTACTTACGTGGCAGAAACTGGGTCAACTGTTAAAACCCATCCTTCATATTCATGTTTCTCAACTGCAACAACTTTGACCAATTTGTTGACATACGTTTCCCAGTCTAGAGGGCTTTTTCTCTGCCAGTCATTCATATTTCCTACATCCAGGACCTAGAAAACAACCAGATCAATGAGCAGATGCAGTCAGTCTTTCTGCTTTGCTCTTCACATCAGAACCGGGTTTGTCTCCATATAAAGATTTGTCTTAAACAAAACTTGCCTTTTTTTTTTTAAGCAGACATTCACACAAGTGGTTTGCATAAAGCTGCACTTCTGAAATTCTGTAATTCCCCACGGAGGCCGCTTGTTTTTAAAGGCACACAGCAAAGCCTCAAACCCCGCTATTCTGGTAACCTTACGCTTTCCCGTTGCAATCGACACTCCATCTATTGCTCTGCCTTCTTACAAAACCTTGGAGGTAAAAGTTCAGCGCCTTTGTTTTGTGCACTGGCGCATCACTACTGCCCGAGCCCTTCTTCCACCGCCTGTGGATAAGCGCTATCCACGCGGCTCTCTCCTCACCCCTACGCTGGAGCACCACCAAGTGCTGTTCCACTCTTTTCCCTGTCCAGCATTCCCATCCCAGCACTGCCCCGGCCAGCAGGGCCGCAGAGCGATGGGTGCAGAGCGCTTCGGGGAGCACAGAGGGCTGCAGGGCGCTTTGTTCCCGGCAGCGAGAGCCTGCACAGCCCAGCTCAGCGGGGCAGGAGCCCCGGCCCCCATCGGTTCCCATCCCGCTTTCCCGCTCACCGGCCCCGGTTCCCGTTCCTGCCGAGGGCCTCTGGGAGCTGCCCCCGGGCGGCACCGCCGCTTCCTGGCGCCGCCGCCGAGCGCCTTCCCCCGGCTCGGGTGACCCGAATGCTCCGATACGGAGTTCTACAGCTGCGGGGGGCGCATAAATGGCACAGAGGTTTGCACGCATCAGGCCAGGTCGCCAAACAAGGAGCGTGTGGCACTTCAGCCTCGCTGGGAGAGGGGGCGAGATTGCCTTTCTGCCCCTCTGGAGCTGGATTTGCTCGTGGGATGCTCCTGCTGGTGCACGGAGAGTGCAGCTTCCACATGCCTCGTCCGTGTGCGTTTCTAGGAGTAGATGCAGGCTCTGTGCATCTGCTACATAAAAATAAGATATTTTTGCTCCCTAGTTGTTGAGCTGCTTTTAGCAAGCTTCCCCGTGCTGCCGCGAAGGTGAGAAACTTGATTCCAACACCCACGCCCACCCCACAACTGCTCTGTTTCAGCAGCGCTCATGCAGAGCTTCCAAGGGATCAACCAAACGAGCTGCTAGTCATTGAGTCATTTGTCAGTAATCTGTGAAAGCGAGCATGCAATGGTCGTGCGAGTGCTAACGCAAAAAATTATAAAGGGTAGAAAACGAGATAATCATATTTTGCAGGCATAAAGGGGCAATTTCCCTTTTCTCCCCTTTCTTTTCAGGAGTCTCAATTCAGCTTCTCCAGTACTACAGGGATTGTGTAGGAATGGCTTGTGCCACTGCCTTCAGCTACTGTTTTCTTTCAGTTACAGCTCGTTTATTAAAAGCAAGGAGAGCAAATCTAATTGTTTTCACTCTAACAACAAGCACCGGCCTGCACTCCAGAGGCGGCTACGCACCAGCTGATGGGGATATCACCTCCGATATGGGATGCGTCCAAGGATGGCTCCCACCCAGGAGATGCCAGGACAGAAAGGCCCTGCTGGCTTTACTTCCAACGGGCAGATGATCACCTGCAGCACCAGCAGAAGGACTGGGAGCTCACTTTGGCAGGGAAAGCTTCTCCCATACCCACTCGCTCCGCTACTTCCCGTTCAGGCCCCAATTCCCACCCAGGAGCCCGCCCCCCGCGCATGCGCGCCTCCGCGCGCCGCGGGGGAGGCGGGGGAGCAGGGCAGGGGGCAGGCGCGTGCGGCGGCGCGTGCGCGCGGGCGGCGGAGCCGTCGGGATGTCGCGTTACGGCCGCTATGGAGGCGGTGAGAACTGCCGGGGGCCGCGGGCGGCGGGCGGTTGCGCGGGGGAGAAGGAGAGACGGGTCTGGGGGAGACGCGATTACCGCGGGGAGCTGGGCTGCCGGCGGGCGCCGGTGGGGAGCGGAGGAAGGCGATGCGGCCGCCGCCGCCGTTGTCGCCGCCGCCATTTTGCGTCAGCGGCCGTGGGGGAGGGCGCGCAGCCGGGCGCGCGGCGCTCGCGGTGAAGGCGGGAAGGGGCCGCGCGGACAAGATGGCGGCGGCCGGGGGAGGGCGGGGCGGGGGCTGAGCCTGCGCCCGCTCCCGGCCCAGCGCTGACCCGCGGTGCGCTCCCGCAGAGACCAAGGTTTACGTGGGGAATCTGGGCACGGGCGCCGGCAAAGGCGAGCTGGAGAGAGCCTTCAGCTACTATGGACCGCTGAGAACCGTGTGGATCGCCAGGAACCCGCCGGGGTTCGCCTTCGTGGAGTTCGAAGACCCCCGCGATGCTGAAGATGCTGTCCGTGGACTTGACGGAAAGTACGTGTCCATTTCGTAGCCGAGGCTACTGAGAGACAATCGGGCTTTATCTCTGTTCTCTGTGCTTCCGTAGTTCTGACACAGACTGCGAGGTTTAACCCAGAGCCTTCATGGACTTGTTGCAGGGTGATCTGCGGCTCCAGGGTCAGAGTGGAAGTATCCACAGGGATGCCGCGCCGCTCCCGCTACGACCGGCCCCCTGCCCGGCGCCCCTTCGACCCCAACGACAGATGCTATGAGTGTGGTGAGAAAGGCCACTATGCCTATGACTGTCACCGCTATAGCCGGCGAAGGAGGAGCAGGTACGTGCGGGGCCGGGGCTGCCGCGTTGCTTCGCCAGCTCGCTTTTGTGTAGTTCTTGTTAGCAAAGAACACAATGTTACACCAGTGTTCTTTAAACTTTAACGCTAGAATAAATGTATAGGTGTATATTACAATTTGTTGCTATTTCTATCAAATGTTAATATTTTAATAATCAACCTGGTCAAAACCTTTCAGGTTTCTTCGTTTGAGTCAGTCGCCTTGATTCAGAATGTCACGAGCCTTAAGATTTCATGCTGAGGCGCCTTGCAAATCCGACACTTAAGATCCTCCTAGACCTTGAGGTGATCAGCATAAGAGGCCAGATCCCCTCGAGCCATCTACACGTAGCTTCACCTTATTCTTTAAGGGCAGAAAATTTGAGACGGTGACCGCCGTAACAGTAAATTTGGCTTTCAATTGGGGCCCCCCTCCGGTTTAGAAAGAGGAACACCAGATTGACCACATTCCCACCTAGAAAAATCTTCTTGCGTCAATCAAGCCTCACCCTGGCTCATTGGGCTGTCAGTTTGATCGTCGTTAGATTGAAGAGAACACCTACCTAGATGCAGCGCTCGCCTATAGATACTTCTAGATCGTCTAGATCTGCTAGACCTTGGGCCAAAGAGGGTCGACCTGCAAACTTGCAAGGTTTATTTTAAATACGCATTACAGTGTTTTCTATTCTAATGTAATTCTGCAATGTAATTCAGCTTTAACATTTTTCTAGGTAGTAAAAATGATCAAGACAAGTAGGCCCAGACATTTTTCCAACTGACAGATGCTAGTTCTTTAGTTGTCTGAAAAAAGTTTTGACTTCAGCAGGGCCTCACACGTGCTGGTTGCAGCAGCTGTCTGCTGATACCGGTTTTTTCTAACCTAAACCCAGGTCCCGGTCTAGATCCCGCTCGAGGTCCCGTGGAAGAAGGTATTCCCGGTCACGCAGTCGCAGCCGTGGTAGGAGGTGTGTTTGAGTTTGTCTTTTATTCCCGTTGCCTTCTTTTGCCCAGAAAAAGCTACACTTGAACAACTCTTGGAATTGCTTTCTCTGCAGGTCCAGATCAGCTTCCTATCGTAGGTCCAGGTCCGTGTCTCCTCGTAGGTCTAGGTCCGTGTCTCCCCGCCGGTCCCGCTCGGGTTCCTTGAAGAGATCGAGGTAATTAGTAGTAATTTTTAAATGGCTGTGTGATTTATTTTTGTTGGTGTTGTCTTGTTTTAATTCAATTCTAAGAGGTATTTGGTAGCAGATTTCAGAAAATGCTGACCTCTAGAAGTCAGCATGGTTTAAAAACTTCTGATAATCCTAGTTAAATTCATAGGTGACTTTCAAGACCTTACCTTGAGACAGCAGCATCTCCCATGACTGAATTTCTTTGTCTAAAATATCTAACGATCATGTAGGTCTGTGATCATGTAGGTCTTAAGTTTAGGTGTAGACGTTAATTTTTATCGTGCTGGAATTGTCATCACTTCTGCTCAAGTTTACTTATTTTTAATTTATCTCAATTTTTAATTTCAGGTCTAGATCAAGATCAAGATCTAGATCCAGATCTGTTACATGGCCCCGAAGCAGGTATGTGACTAAAGATAGCTGGTAAAAGTTGCTTGAAAGTCTCATTAGGCTCTTCAACAACTGCTAAGGTTTTTTTCCCAGGAAAAGATGTGTTTTCCCTCCGCTAACTTAGGGATCTGTAGTTTTAAGAAGCAGTGCAGAAGATTGTTCTTTCTCTTTCTATTCTTCTGCACACCACCAGTATCTAGATCCCCATAGTCATCACAAATACTGGTTTGATCAAGTTGCTGCATTAACTGCTAACAAACGTAGAATTAATCTCAAAAGTTTATTTTCCTTTTGTGTAGCACACACAAGATTGTCAGTTCTTCCCATTATTTTTCAAAGAAAGCAGGATGCCCTTCTGGTAGCATGATGATGCTTTATTGTCTGTAGCCAAACAAGTCTTGAAGGGCTTGCTGGTGTCCTGAGTGTTACAGCTGCAATTCCAGCTCTGTTGAATATCAGCGTCAGTCTGCTGATTTTTAATTTGAGATAAACACCTGTCAGAATTGTTTTGTACCAATAAACGTATCACAAGAGTAGAAGTCAAATTTTAAAGGAACACAGGGTGCTATTTGTTCCCTTAAACTTTACTTGCTAGTAAGTGGGTGCAACCTGTGCTTCGTGGAGCCTTGTCCTGGCAGCAGGGCTGACTGAGTGTCCTCAACAAGAACAAGAGAAAATGGAAATTCTGCTCTGGATATGGAACTGCTTATAGCCCAGCCTGTCCCTGTGCCTGCTGTGCTGGTTTTAATGGCTGCTCTTTGAAACAAAGAATTGTCAACCATGAAGAAACACAGGAAAATATAGGATAGTTTCAGCTAAAGGGAGCAGGTGGAAAAGCCCACAGCTGAAGGTGGCGTTTTTTGAGGATGGACAGCAAGCAGTAATGGGAGTTTTAAGGGAAAGGAAAGATGAAGACCAGATGGCTTAGTTAAGAGCAGAAACTCACACAAACAGTCCAGAAGCTGATAAAGAGAGAAGGTTGTCCAAGGCAGTAGAGCAGTGCCTTTCTCCCAATACCTCTGGGTACACCCATGGCTAAACCATGTTGTTGTTCCATCATGACTTAATCATGGCTTATCACTATTCACTGTCAGTGGTGAGCAGGAAACAGCTACAGTCAGCAGACTCTCAAAGAGGAAAACATCTTGATTTTACCACCGTTGTTTCCTCTTTTTGGTACCAGGGTGGCTTTCTGCAGAGTAAAGGATACTTGCAGTGACATTTCTAGACTGTTGTGTGACACTTTCCATTGTAAGTAGGGATTAAGCGACTGAGGCATAGGAAATTACAGATGTACAACTAGACAGAAATGGCAGAAGAATTGTTCTTACGTAATTGAGAGATTATTTCTTTAGAGAAGAGTCCAGGGAATGCATTGCACCCAGAGACAGGCTCTGGGTTCACAAGGGAGACAGACTAAATGAGGACATGACATTTACTAGTGTGACAGTGTCACAATGCACATCTGGAAATCGTTGTGGAAAACCTTGGATGTGGAATATAGAACACTTCCTTGGGGGACCTCAAAATGTTGGTGAGGCTTTCAGGCAGTATTAGCATTCCTGTGGTGCAGCGGTCTCAAAGGTGGATGTTTTCCACATTTTTTTCATAAGGATTAAGTTTAAACATTAAAAAAAAATACTTGAAGCAAGTAAATATATAAGATGAAGTTCACAGAGAAGATACTAGTTGGAATGTGCTGTCTGCAACTGCAGCGGCTCAAGTCTAATAAAACCTGCAAGTTTAGAGCATGGCTTTTTATTAACTCTGTGAAAATACTGGTCAGGATTTGGGTTGCTCCTGTGTTCCTGCCATTTGCATCACAAACACTGGTCATCAGCTAGGGACCAAAGTACAGAGCAACATGTACAGCAGCATCTTTGGAAACTTAACAGGCAAAACCCTGGAAACTTGCAGGATTCTGTGTGTTGAGCATGACGGCGCTCACCCACTGAGTGGGAACCTGCATGCTGTCAGTTTCCCTGCTGAGCTGTGTTTTTTCTTGCAGGTCTAGGTCTCATGGCAGATCAAAGTCTGGCTCACCAGCTAAGAGGTGAGCACACAGAGAGCCTGCAGTAGCATTTCAATTTTAAGTTTGCGTGATTAACAGAGCCTGGTCCTTCAAAAAAATGCCCCCCAAACATGGGTCCTCAGCTAATCTCTTTGTGATATGACAGAAATGATAACATTTCCTCTGCAGCTCTTTGGAATGTGTTCCTTACTCGTCTCTTGGTTTTCATTAACTCTTCATCATTTCCAACATAGTACTAATTTTTTGTGCCTTTGTGCTCAGTTCTGTTAAATTTTTCTATTTATCAGATAAAGAGCTTGAGCTTTGTTAATGCTTTTCATAAAACAGCAATCTGGTGATGTTGCTTTTCTCAAAGCCTCACGTTAGTACCACCCCTTGTTTTTCTCTTTGTCTGCTGAGGAAAGTTACTTAAAATGCATCTCCACGCTAAATGAATGGAGAATCCCTGTCAGAGTAAAAGTTGAACTGAAAACTACCATTGGAAGGACCTTCTGGCTAGATTCCTATAATTTACTTTCTGATAGGTTGGGGTTTTTTTTAAAATATAAAAGTTGCATTTGACATTTAAGCTGCATTGATGCTGTTCTGTTTTGACAGCCGGTCAAAGTCCCAGTCACCATCTCCAAAGAGAAGGTACGTTGGTCTCCCTACTAATAGCATAGACTCCACAGAGCTGGCATTTTAGTATCTGCACTGATCTCTGCTGAGCAGTTTGACAGCTGCTTGTAGGAAAATACTGGAGAGGTATTTTGTTGAGATGTCTTTCAGAGCAATAATGTTGTGGTGGTGGCTTTTCTGTACAGTAATACGTATATATGGTGATAAATCCTCAGGGTTATGTAGCCGTGCCTTGTCCTTGTCTGCTCCCCTGTTCCTTTTGGTTCACTGACAGTTTTATTGCACAGAGACTGATGAGCTTAAAGCATAGAATAAGTGTAGGAAATCAGCTTTCAGTCTCATTAAAAGCTGCATTGACATTGGTGAAGGTAGGGTGGACTAAGCTGGCACAGCAGAATGGAAAATCGAGCTTGTTATGTTCACTGCTGTTAGATTATTTTTTTCTTTCCCAGTAAGTCAGTAAATAGTTTTCTCTCTGTGTGTATGCACAGACTAACATGTAGAATACGTGTAGTGACAGAATCAACAGTATTTTTTTCCTAATTGGAATTCTTTAATAGTTCATTTCACAACTTTAGTGTCAAACAATCACAGGGGCATGAATAAGTGCTCATAAATGCTGAGTGATCATCATGACAGGTTTTGACAAGCTGCTGTATCAGAACAGTGGAGTATCTTGCCCCTTTGAAGGTCACTATAAGTAATACCCTTTTGATGGCCTTACAGTGATCTCATTTTAAAAATAACAGTAAAGAAAAAAGTGTTATCTCCAAATCATCAACCCCTTAACTTTTGTCATTGATTGGTTATTTTATTAAAAAAGAGTGCTTAAAGGGAGCCAGAGACTGGGTATACTCCTGTTGCTTTTCCCTGTATTTGTGATCCCCAAGCAACTACTGAAATGTTAATTGTGGATTCTTTTCCTTTCAGCCGTTCACCATCAGGGAGCCCTCAACGAAGTGCAAGTCCTGAAAGAATGGATTAAAGTTATGAAGTTAATCTTTTAGGAAGAAAGATATTTTGCTTACATTATTATAAGGGATTTTGTGGTGTCTTTGTAAATGTAAGAATGTAGATAGAAGAGTATATCAACTAAAATTTGGCATGATCTGGGTCTTCTGAGTTAGTCACACCAATAGACTAGCACAGGTCTCTTTTTATTGTATCAATTAACTTCCTGTGATATGAAAATGTGGGACTTTTTTATTGGCACATTGAAATAAAATGTGTATTTTTAACTAAAACTTCTCTGTAGTAACCCTGCTGCTTCCGTTAACGTTTGGGTAATTTTAGCTGTGTGCCATGTAACGTGGATGAAAAATGTCTAAAATGGGAATCACTAATCCCAGCTGGTGTCTTCTCAAGGTAGTCACTTTTCACATCTACTGTTGAATGGTCTTTGGTGAAAGGATCAGTTCCTGCTCTCCTTGAAGTGGAATTTAAAATCCATCTCTTGTCTGCAGATGGATAAAAATCTGCATATGCCCTTTTCATTCCTTGATATTTAGTGGGCATTCATTTTTCTGCCTGATGTGCTTATTCTGCAAAGCTCATTCTCTGGTGTTTGACTGTTGATACCAGATGCCCCAAAAATCTAAGGATAAACTTTCCTCCAAAACACATCTTTTAAGCAAATAACATCTGTAGAAACCTCTAAAGGTAATAGAAATCATTAAGAACTTGACAATTGCTACTTCCACATGTTGCATTTTTTAATTCCTAAGGCTACTGATACAAAGAAAGATTTTAAAATATATAATATGTATCATTATATATATAAATATTATATTATAAAAATTTTAGAATATCTCAAGGTGTGTTTTCCTTTTTTGAGGGAAGATCCTTAAAATTAAAGATTCTAAGCTGCCCTCAGGAGTTCCAAACTGCTTCACAGAAACTGGTATGGTTGTAAGGCAGCCCATATCCTGGAGCTGGCTTTGTGGAATGATGCCAATTTCTTACAGCAAATACACAACCCGCAGGACTCATTATTTGTGTATAGGTGTGTCAAACTGTCCTCATTCTGTATGAAGGAATTGCATGATAAAGCACTTCAACACAGATCACAGCAAGGGACTGGCAAGAATATTGGACTGTGAACAAAAAACTGGTAGGCAGAGGGGAGAAAAGCATCCTTTCATTTTGATGGGATTGGCTATCCAGCAGAAATAAAGACCAGTTTCAGCAGTGAGTAAGCATTGTAATGGAAAGCCAATGAAATCTATCCTGGCAGTTTGCTTCCACTGTGTAAACCACAGCAGAACAGCTTAAGTTACAAGATGAACTTAGTTAGACCTGGGGTAACACATGGTTTTCAAGAAACAGATTTCCTGTTAATAATGACTGCATGGAGCTTTTCCAGTGGATGAGTCAACAGTCCAGATCCTGAAGGTGCTGTTCTGCTGCAGCATCCTCTGGCCTTTATGCCTGGTCCTCGCTGTGCCTGGATCCTCTTGGGCTCACCATGGCCATTGGTGTTCCCAGTGGATTCTGGCCCTACCAAATCCCACTACTGCCACAGTGGGAGAGCAGGGCTGACACAAATGTTACCCTGCAGTGTTGTAGCCCAATTGTCTGAAGCCTGTGATACGTGTTTGGAATATTTTACTGGTTGTGCATTGTGTACCTGGTGTGAGGCACACGTACGCCACTGCTCTGGAATTTCATCACCTTTTCTTTTCTGTACTCTCAAGGGAAACCTGCTCCACAATAAACCTGCAGACTGACACGACAGCTCTACTAGTACCTGTTTTTCAGTACCCAGAGACACTGGAGGACTGAGCAGAAGAGTCAGGGGTTTTTCTCGGTGGGGCTGGGATTCCTCTAAACCCAGATGTGAACCTGAGGAAGGAGCAAGGCTGTGTTGGTGCAGACAGCCACCCTGAAGGACAGCCAGCACTTGTAAGGTGCAGAGGGGGAGCAGTGACAAAGGTGACATCTGTGCTTCTGTGCAGCTGTGCTGTCCAAAATTGAGCTCTGGCCTGAGTTTGGTAGGATTTCATCACAAATTCGATACAGTTTGTGAGCAGTTGAAAAAGATCCCCTGACACAGGGGTGTGTCGTGTGGCTGGTGCTGCTGTGCCCCTGTGCTTCTGGGCATGGTGTACACACCCCAAAGAGGTTGGCTGGGGGTGGGGGGCAAGGGAGGTGTGTTTGGGGTCTCCAGTATGGTGGGCAAACCCCACTCTCATGGGGGAGATGGGGTTCCCCTGATTTGCAACCTGGTGTTCTCTGTTGGTTGGGCTTTGTTCTCCAAGGGATACCAGCCCTCAATATGACCACTGTGTATGGCAGGAGAGTAGTGGGGCACTTCTTTTGGCGTTGGGGTGGCAGAACTGACTGTGACAGGGCTGCCACATTTGCAGGCCCAATGGCCAGGCACTTCCACTGGGGACAAGGGCAGTCCTGCATCTCTGCAGCTGAGGAAGCATGGTGAAGTGCTGCAGGCCCTGGGTGCAGCAGCATGGCAGGAGAAGGTGGGACATGGTGCCTGATGCAAGGACTGTCTACCTGCTTCCCTGGGGAGTGGGCTACCAGCTCCCTAATAGGATGGTGCTGTCACCCCCTGGCTTGTGCCAATTTTCCTGAAGCCTCAGAAACATGGAGGTTTTCATCAGAGAGCTGCCTGCTACAGGGTTTTGGAGATCTCACGTGGAAACACAGTGTTAGGATGATGGGTTTTCTCCTGCATCTGTATATCCAGGACTAAATAGGTGTGCCCACTTCAGCAACCAGGGCAGAACATAGGAGTTTAACCAGAGCATCCAGGGCAGCCAGCTGGGATAATCCCAGCACACTGTCCTCCTCAAAGCTATCCTGCATGAGCACTGCACACCACTTAGAGAGAGCACTTTGATGGAAATAGCAGATGTTGTAACAAACCACAACTGCATCAGCCTTACCACATGCTCCACATGAATATTACCAGATATTCCCCCGCTGTAGTTGGAGCTGTGACATCATGCCCCTAAACAAGGTGTTTTCAGTACATTTTTACTGCAAAACAAAACCCAATGCCCAGGGTGAGAGGCTGGACAGAGTGTGAGGGCTTTGTACAGACCAGACAGCAGCAGAGATGGTGACAGGAGTTAAAGCTAGCAGAAACCACAGATGAAAACCACAGAGGAAAAAGGCTCCCAGATCGGATGCATCACCCAGGGGTAGTTGGAAAGCTCTGTTTGACACCTGGCAGGATTTCTGGCTCAGCTGCTGGAGGCACTTACCCCTCAGTGGTGGAAGTCAGCAGCCCTTCTCCTCAAGCAGTGTTGAATACAAGCCACGTGGTGTGGTTGTATTCCTCACCCGGATGGAGCAGGACATTGGGGAAGTGAGGCTGGGGAGAGGGAGCAGCACATCAGTGACTGTGAGCACATTCCGTGGGATCAGAAAGCACGGCTGCATCCCTTTGTTCTTCCCAAGGCATATTCCCACAGCTCCCCCCAGCCATTTCCAGCAGCAGTGTGTAATCACCCACCACTTGCCAGCAGGCTGAGTGGGTGAGTCCTACTGCTGGTTGAATTCAGGCCGTGAGGAATGATTCAGGTATAAGAGGATGTGGCAAGGCCCCAGTGGAGTCATCCGCTCTAGACCCCCACACCTTTGGGAAGCTGGGCTGCACAGGGCCAGTCCCTGCTGCACTGACTGACCCCCATTTAAAGCCACTGTGACCTGTGCCTGCCTCACTTCTGGTGTCAGCAGTGTCCCCTTGACAAGCAGACTCTGTTTCTGCATTCAGTGCCCCAGAGACATGGAGGGCGGTGGGGGTAAGTCCCCTGCCATGGGACCCAGGTAACCTGTGGGAGGGGAATGGACAGCTCACCTTGTTAACAGCATCAGGCCAGTTCTGGGTTTCCAGGCAGAAAGCTGAGTGCTTGGGGTACATGGCAGCACCTTTGCCCTTCAGGGAGCCATCCAGGTTGTTCCCGGTGTAAAACTGGATGCCAGGCTGGGTGGTGTGAACCTCCATGGTCCTGCCGGTGGGAGGGTGGAAAACCCTGCGGAGATGCCAGTGGAGGATGACAGGGAACTGGCTGAATGGGCATTCCCTGGCTCCAGGGGTGGGGACTCCTGCCAAGGTCCCAGCCTACCTGGCCACAAGGTGTCGATCATGCCCCTGATGCAAGCAGAAGTTATGGTCAAAGCCATCCAGGTGAAACTTCTGCAAGTGCTTGCCCAGCTCCACAGGCTGCCGGAGATCAAATCCAGTGCCCTGCACAGCAGCCACCTCCCCTAAGCAAGAACAGCAGCCTCAGCCACTCACTCACATGCCAGCAAACCCTACCTTGTCCCCCAGCACAGCTGGCAGTTCCTGGGGACACTGCTCCTCTAGCAGGGACAAAGCCACAGATAAGGAGCAAGAAAACACATGGAAGTTTGTATATGTACAAACCCAGAATTTTCTCTCTTATCTAAGACTGCTGTGGGCATACAGTGTCCTGTGATAAAGCAGCACAACCAACCTCAGGACATACTAAACAAACACAGTGCAAAACAGTCACCCCAAACCAAAGGTGAGGGGTTTTGCATGGAGGGCAGAATAAACAGCGTGAAAAAAAAGAGTAATGAAACCATTCCAGTTGAGGCACTTACATAAAATACTGTAGACACTGCACACAAGGGGTCTGTCTTTAACTATTCCACAAATCTTATCTCCACCCCAGGACTAAGACTACCCACACAAGAAGGAACTGCAAAAGACAGGGGTAGCAAACTGGCCACAGTTAAGATGTGAAACAGCTACATGGTGAAAGCAGCAGGGAGAAGCGGGGCACTGGGCTGGGTATGGCCTTGAGCTCTTCCCCTGTTAGTGCACAAGCATGGCACACTGAGCTGAACAGAAGCCACCTGGACCAGGGAATCCACCCTCCAGGTGCCACGGGGAGCTTGTCTCCTGGACGAACCCACACAACAGCCTCACAGCCCATGTGTCTCTGGCCCCATTTCCTGCTGCTCCTGCCTACTCCCTGGGGCTGATGATGGACCAGATTACCAGCACCTGGCTCTGCCCTCCCTGCTCAGGTGCAGTGGGACTGCACCCAAAGGTGAGGGCCCTGCTGTGCCTGGGGTCCCCTGGGTGCTCATGTGACCCCCTTGCCAGGCCGTGCTCCTCCTCACACCCACCAACACTGCTCAGAAAGATCCCTTCCACCTGGTGCCACAAGTGCTGCACCACCCACCAGTAGGGATCTTGGTGTCATCCACAGGCAGGTAGGAATCTGCTTCAATGGAGATCTCGTGGTCATACACATCCAGAGAGCCCTGCAGGAGGATGGGAAATGCTGGGATTACTGTTGCAGCCACTGTTCAAGCAACCCTAAACACAGCTTAGTCAGTCCACAGCGGTGCTCCAGCTGATCTGGTAATGCCTGGAGCATCTTCTGGCTCTCATTCTACCTTGACCTTGGGCACAGGACAAAGGTACTGGCATATACAAAAACTTTCATGGACTCTAGAAGCTGTAAATCCCACAGGGATGAGACCATCAATCTGTACTTGTACCTCACTGAACGCTACACCCTGCAGACTGACTAGCCAAAATATGCTGGGTACTGAGCACACAGCAGCAGGGAGAAGGGGAAGGAAGTAAGCAAGGGGAAATGCAACCCATCCTTCTGTCTCATCGGAATCACTGTGGGGGTGTGCTCCTCCTCCTCTCCCACAGCCTCAGGAATGCTGGCAGGGAACCTGCTGGGCTGGAAGGGGAGCAGGCTCAAAGCTGAGCCCTCAGGTCACTATCTAATCTGAGCAGCAATTTCATGCCCAAAGGTCTCCCCTTCCTCTGGAATATGCCTGAGTTGCACACTGCAGGTGTTGGTATTACTGCACCTCTGGGAGCACCAGCAGGAGGGTACACCAACAACTGCACAGCCATTCTCAGGGCAGCAGCTTGGGCACAGCTCCTGCTCAGAGGGGCTGGGTTGTCTCTCACAAACTCTTTTAAGGGCCTTTGTCTCACATGCAAGTGTGACTGCACTGTCCTATTGCTCTGCCCAGCAACACTTTATTTCTCAGATCCTTTTCCAAACCCAGTTATAAACTGTGTGAGATTAAAACACAGCTGCAATTCACTGTCCATGTGGTTGACAAAACCCTGCATGTGTGGGAGCCCTCTGCATCCTGCTGCTGCAACCTTTGCTAGTCTGCAATCCTGGCTATCTCACATCCCCTTTCCATGTTTCTTCTGCCTATTTTGACCTTTGGTGCTGCCACTCCAGGCCCTGATCTCAACTGGCATCACCATCTCAGAAATGCCAACAGAATACTAAGAAACTAAGAAATGCCAGGACACCGCTAGGGTATGCCAGCTCTGCACCTCCTCTGAAATCTTCCCAAGGGACCAGGAGAGCACAAAACTGCCCAGTTACACATAAAAGGAGAACCAACATGCTCAGCTGGATGTTTCTGTTCAAGAAGCACTGAGACAATGTATCCTCAGCTGAGGTCCATGTGATTCAGTCCTGTTCCTGCACACAGCCCATGATGCACAGAGACAACCCTCACTGCTGTGTCCCCAAAACCATGATGTATCCCCAGACCAGCACGCTGGTCCAGATGATCATCCCAGGCTGGGTCCCCAGGCTTTCTTCCCCTGCACAGTGCGTCTCCACAGGGCCCATCTCCCCACACTTACCTGCCCTGCCAGGTTGAAGTAAGCGTGGTTTGTCAGGCTGATGGGGGTTGTCTTGCTGGTCTGGGCCTGGTAGTTGATGGCCAGCTCCCTGCCACTAAGGGTGTAGGTCACCCAGACTTTCAGGTCACCAGGGTATCCTTCCTCGCCGTCGGGGCTGAGCCGGAAGAAGCGGACACCATTCGGGAGCACCTGGGGGCTCCAGAGAACCTGCAAGGAGCACGGTGTTAGTGGAACAGGAATGGGAACACAGTGCCCTTCCCTCCTGCCCCAGGCTGGGCTAAAAACAGGGACAGAAGGCACTCAAGGGATGCTGTGCTGCAACAATGGCTTTTTTCAAGCACCTTTCCAAAGAAAACACAAGCACCAGCCTGCCCTTGGTCAGCCAGGACCACCAGCATGGAACAAGCTTTACAATGAGCAGCCAAAAAACCGAGGCAATTTGGCAGTCTGATGGGGGGTCTGTTCCAGCCTGTGCTATGCCATGCTTGAGAGTATTTTTGCCCTGCAGCTGGACTAATGCCCCTTTCCATGGATCTTCTCACGTGCAACACCAACAAGCTGCTCTCCTCTGCTCACGGGTGCTGGCTTCTAGGACAGCGTAAGAACACACTGGGAACTCCTGCTCAGGGGCTGGGGTTAGGTTAAATGGTTCCAGATGTGCTGTCAGACACATCCAGAGAGCTGGGACCTCTCCAGTTCTTCTCCCTGCCAGACACCAGCACCAGTGCTCTGCTTGGAGCCAAACATGCTGGCAAGAAAAGCAAGCCAGCACACTGTACACAGCTGCCCAGACAGCCTGTTTGGCCCTGGCCATGGGCCTTGTGCCGAGAAGATGGATGTGCAACAAGAGGCTCTCTGGAGCTTCACATTTCCGTAAGGAATAATTACTGTCTAATCAAAATGGACAAATTTAGGAACAGGGGTCAGATAACTCTGTTGAGTTGATCCCTCTCATGTTTTACACAGAGATCACCAACATGGGGAAAAAGCCAGCATTTTCACCAAACACAGAACCTGAGGGCACCAAATATACCTGGCTGCAGAGTAGGTCCTCCTGCACAGTGTGCAGTTCGACTGCAGCTCCCACGGCTGCAAGGATGCTGCGGTTTTTAAAATACAAGTTTCTATTTTAGTTCTTTGAAGAAAAAGCTGATAAAGTCCAGGAAACATACAGGTATCACTATTTTTTTCTAAGATAAGAGAGTTATTTTCTGAAGTCCTCCAGCAGTGTGGTGACTGCTGCCCTGAAGGTGCAGCTGCAAGCTGCTCTCATCAGACCATGCGCTGACCGCAGCACTGATGTCTGCAAGATCAGGAAGAGCTCAGAAGATGACAAAGATAATCACATCCAAATTCCAGTGTCTGTTTTTTGTTAGGGCTGACCAGTTAGGGCTCAGTGTCATTGAACAGTGATTGTTTCCTGTCTGGAGGAGATCTTAGGCAGGTGTCCAAGTACGCCCTGTGGGCCAGAGGACACAAAGCTCTGGCTGGGAGATGTCACTGCCTTGTCCCCAGGAAGCTGATGAGACTTCAGCAAGCAAGATGAAGAAGCAGAAGAAGAGACCACATCCCCTGCCTGCAGAAGACAGCCTGGAAGCCCTGGGTGTGAATAAATGCATGTTTTCAGCTCCAGATCACAGGTATCAGGGTGTATAAAGAAACTTTAAACCCACCAAACTGTCCTCTTTGTGGGTACAACAGCCAAGCCATCCTCAGTACTCCCTTTTTTCTGAGGCTGCTGAGGAGCATTTCACCCCAACCTCATGCCAGTTCACACTCTGATTTATTCTTTTTTCAGGCACTCTGGCTTTTTTCCCATCAGCCTGGATTCCTTTCACCAAAAACCCCATTAACCCCACGAAAGCAGCTGCACCAGCACATCTACGTGTTCTTGGGGGGAAATGGTGGATCTAACTTGCTGGTTACAAATGCACTTGATCCAACAAAGGCCAAGGCTTCAGGGAAACAGAGACTTCTGAGCCTGCTCTGCAGTCGAGCAGGGTTATAGCAAGGCTTTCAAGAGAAGAGATCCTCCACTGCTCTTACCACTTGCGCCACAAATATCTGACTTGAGCAGCAGCTCTTAGGAGAAGAGGGAAAAGGTTGAGTGCCCTGGGGCCAGGGAAAGGTTGCTTCATCTCAGGAGGTCATAGGGCAGGGCTGGGAAAGAGAAGCAGTGATCCTGGATCCTGGGGCATTTTGCAGGCCTGATCTAATCCCCCACTGCTATGAGTCAGAGTGAGAGCCTGGGGGATGCTGTCGAAGGATGAAAGCGGCACCAAAGGGGGCAATACAATGACTGAACCTGCAGCACCACCCTGCTCACCCCTTGGCAGTGCTGTTACAAGCAAGCAACAATGATAAGTTTCTGCAAACTCACATCCTCCTAACTCTGGGAGGAGCTATGGGCAGGTAACAGCTGTGAAACTGCAGGTGGAAATGAGTCTGCCTGGACAGACCACTGTTCCCCAGGAAACTTTCTTTGGGCACTGGCACAACTCCATGACACACTCCAGGATGCTGGTGCTTGGGAAGCCTCCATTGCTCCTGGGGCTGGGTCCTCACTGCCATACCCCTACCCAGGCTCTGCAGAAGCAGCACCTTGCCCAGAACAACCTTGTCAGAACTGGGCTAATGAGGCTCAGGGCTGCAGTCACACAGAGGAAGCACAGCAATCCTCTGCTCAGCATCCAAGGATGACATAAGTGAGGCCTGCACACTCAAGCAAAGACAAGCCAGCAGCTCACAGGATCTGTCTCACTTCCTCCTGTTTCTGCACTCATAGCACTTTCTGAGCTGATTCAACTCAGTAACCACCAGAAAATGCTACAGGGTCCAGAGGTGTAGACACCACACCCTCATGCCATAACTCCACAGGCTGTATGCTGGCAAGACACTGGGATTTTCACCTTGTCAAATCCCTTGGCTCCTCCGTGCAGGCTGTTGGGCCCGTTGTTGAGGAACAGCTGATACTCCTTCCCGTCCAGGCTGAACCTCCCGTTGGCAATCCTGTTGGCAACACGGCCCACGACAGCACCGAAGAACGGGTGCTTCCTCGTGTAACCTGGCCAGAGAAACAGCACACGGTTAAACAGAACCAGTGGAACAGGACAGGCGGTCTCCAGGAGTGCTCCTGGACTCAGAGTTGTCTCTCTCTGCTTCCTCCAGGACTTAATAGGTGATTGCAGTCCCAGCGTTTCACAGGACACACAGCTCATTAATTGTGCGCATCTTTGATTAACACAGCCTGATGGGATCTTGTATTCTTCGCATATTCAAAGAAAAGGTCTCTGTCACTGCCAGTCAAGGATTGACTCAGAGCTGCCCCAGCAGAGCGGCACACTGCCACCAGTGTCCCTGTTCCACATCCACCACAGAGCCCAGCAGAGGCAGCAGCAACTGTATCTCTTCAGCCCACGATTTGGGGGCGGGGGGAGCGGGCCTTACAAGCAAGTCATGCAGTGTTGCAATAAACCAGCAAGTGCTGGATAAATTGCCTGATTGTGGTTCTTGTAAATTTTATTTTTTTTCAAAGAAACAAAGAACCCACCTTCTAAAGTGTCAAATCCTAGGACAACATCTGAAAACTGCCCATCCCTGTCTTTTGTCTCCAGAGTGGAGATGATGCACCCAAAAGACAGGATCTCCACTCTCACGCTGTCCGACTGCAAGACGAACTTCTCCACCTCTCCGCCTCCCTCCTCCGGGGGCATCCGCCCGAACGCCTCTCTCCTCACGGTTGTCATCGCTCCCTAAAACCCGGCGGGAGCAGCAGCCCTGCCCGGGAAGGACGCTCAGGACGGAGAAGCAATGGCGGCAGGAGCGGAGCACTCCCAGCTCCAAAGGGCAGCCAGAACAACCCTCGGCCGCCTCCGCGCGGGGCGGAGCCGCGCCGTGCCCGGCGGAGCGGAGCGCCGGGCATCCCGGGGCTGCCCCGAGGGGCAGCAGCCTCCGGGAGGTGGCCGGGGCCAGCGGGGAGGATGCCGGGGGGCAGCGGGGAGGATGCCGGGGGGCAGCGGGGAGGATGCCGGGGGCAGCGGGGAGGATGCCGGGGGCAGCGGGGAGGAGGCCGAAGGGAGGGAGCGAGGGTGCGGGCCGGCAGCGCAGCCGCCAGCTCTCAAATTCGAGGGCCGAAGCACGGCCGCCAGCAGCTCCTCTCCCCCACT